CATGTGCCAAGTCTCACCTGTTCAGGCTCATCTCCTCATTGTCACATGCCAGGTCTCACCTGTTCAGGCTCATCTCCTCATTGTCACATGCCAAGTCTCATCTGTTCAGGCTCATCTCCTTATTGTCACAGGCCAAGTCTCTCCTGTTCAGGCTCATCTCCTCATTGCCACATGCCAAGTCTCATCTGTTCAGGCTCATCTCCTTATTGTCACAGGCCAAGTCTCATCTGTTCAGGCTCATCTCCTCATTGTCACGTGCCAAGTCTCATCTGTTCAGGCTCATCTCCTTATTGTCACAGGCCAAGTCTCTCCTGTTCAGGCTCATCTCCTCATTGTCACATGCCAAGTCTAGTCTGTTCAGGCTCATCTCCTTATTGCCACAGGCCAAGTCTCATCTGTTCAGGCTCATCTCCTCATTGTCACGTGACAAGTCTCACCTGTTCAGGCTCATCTCATTGTCACGTGCCAAGTCTCACCTGTTCAGGCTCATCTCCTCATTGTGACATGCCAGGTCTCATGTTTTCAGGCTCATCTCCTTATTGTGACGTGCCAAGTCTCTCCTGTTCAGGCTCATCTCCTTATTGTCACATGCCAGGTCTCTCCTGTTCAGGCTCATCTCCTTATTGTCACATGCCAAGTCTCTCCTGTTCAGGCTCATCTCCTCATTGTCACGTGCCAAGTCTCACCTGTTCAGGCTCATCTCCTTATTGTCACGTGCCAAGTCCCACCTGTTCAGGCTCATCTCCTTATTGTCACGTGCCAAGTCTCACCTGTTCAGGCTCATCTCCTCATTGTGACATGCCAAGTCTCACCTGTTCAGGCTCATCTCCTCATTGTCACGTGCCAAGTCTCTCCTGTTCAGGCTCATCTCCTTGTGACATGCCAGGTCTCATGTGTTCAGGCTCATCGCCTCATTGTCACATGCCAGGTCTCGTGTGTTCAGGCTCATCTCCTCATTGTCACATGCCAAGTCTCACCTGTTCAGGCTCATCTCCTCATTGTCACATGCCAGGTCTCATGTGTTCAGGCTCATCTCCTCATTGTCACGTGCCAGGTCTCTCTTGCCCCTGCACTCCTTCCCGTCCCTCCCCTACAGCCAGTTTTGTGATCTCTAAGCACCCCTCTATCGCTGTCACTCATTCCTCAATCCTTGTAGCGGGCCCTTCTCAACAACAGCATTCCATTCTGTAATCGTCTTGTGAGCCGTAACAAGCGCCTTGAGTGGAGGCGCTCTATAAATATAAATTACAGCAATACCTCGCTATGCGAATATTCAATATACGAAGTTTCAGTATAACGGACTTTAAGTTTATTTACCATTGATTAAATGGTAACAAATAATAAAGTAGAATTATAAACGAATACACTGAAATTAACAAATAAGACAATTATCCAATAAGAATGACATTATAATAAGACGTGGATTCATGAGCGTTGAGCATCGCGATGGTCAGAATGTTTACATTTGTCTCGGCCAATCAGCGCGGAGCTGTGGTGTTTGGTGGTGAACGTCACCTACGACTGCACCGTGTCAATGTATTTTACACTACACTGTTGATTTTGTCAGTTTTTTTCCTATTTGAATACTGGCACAGTATAAAATGTAATATTATTTTCACGGAGTGACCAATAAGGTCTGAATTGGTCTGTAATAAGATAGGGCACTGATATGGGGTTTTGCCTAACAGAAACATTTCTCACTCCTGCCGTCAATGACTTGCAGATTACGATTGACAACTACAACCTTTTTCGGCTTGACCGAGGATCTAAAGGAGGTGGAATTGCCATCTATGTTCGTAATACTATCGCATGTTCACCAGCTCACTCCTTGTTTAAAAAATGTTGCTTTGAAGGTTTGCTCTCAGAATAACTCTCCCAAATAATCAACAGATATTACTAGTGTGCTGCTATAGACCGCCTAGTGGGAAGGATGTTGAAGCTGCATCGGCACTGAGAAAGCTTTTTGTGGGCCTCCCTAAAGGTGAAATAGTTTTAGTGGGTGATCTAAATTGGAATTGGCTAAACCCGCCGACCGTGGCCACAAATTTTATAGATGAATTTAACCTGTTTCAATTAATAAATGTTCCCACAAGACCCAACCTAAAAAATCCGGGACAGTCATCTCTGCTTGACGTCCTATTGACAAATGCCCCTCACAATTTCGCACTGACTGGTGTTCTGGGTAATAACCTTAGTGATCACTCCTTCATTTTTGGGGTGAGATCATCAGCCAGACCCAAAGCCCCCCCTAAAATTGTTGAGAAGCACTCTTTGAGGCACTTCAGCACTCAGGCATTTACAAATGATGTGCTTCACTCGGATATTGATAAGGTGTGTGATATCCCCAACCTGACTACGGCTTGGGAGACTTTCAGGTACACGTTTCTCCAAATCCTTAACAAACATGCTCCGTTGGTTAGATTTAAAATAAAAGGCAACCGCCCACCATGGTATGAGCCTTTGATTACAAAGCTCATGAAAACTAGGGACAAGGCTTGGGCATGTGCTCAGAAAAGTAATTTGGTAAATGACTGGCTAGAATACATGATTTTAAGGAATAGATGCGTAAAAAAATACGGCATGCAAAAAATGCCTACTTTTCCTCCACTCTCTTGGAATCACATGGAAATGCCAGGATTTTTTGGCATCCAAAACAGACAATCTGCCCGTTGAGCTTATCCGAAATGGGGAATATTTTTCAGATCCCCAAAAAATAGTTGACAATTTTAACCTTCATTTTTCTGAAGCTGGTAATATTTTTGATAATGTATTGGGAGTCACCCCTGCTCCTGCAAATTCCTACACCCCTGTCCAAACATTAAACGAATTTAGTTTCCAACCAATCCACGAAAGTAATGTTCTGAAACAACTGTCCTACCTCAAAGGGTCCTCCTCTACCGGAGGAGATAGTTTTCCCGTCTTTGCTCGACTAACTGTTGGTCACCTAATATACAAACCTATAGCCCATATTTTCAACCTGTCCATCAAAGTTGCATCAGTTCCTCTAGAATGGAAACATTCCTATGTCCGTCCACTTCACAAAGGGGGCCCTAAAGATGATCCCAATAACTACCGACCTATCTCAATTTTGTCCCCATTGATGAATATTTGTGAAAAATTATTGAACTACCAAATTAGCAGTTTCCTGTCCACCAACAATCTACTACATCTAAAATAATCTGCGTTCCGAAAAAAATACAGCACCACATCTGCTGCATTAGACTCTTTGAGTCAAATTTACAATAGCCTTGATAATAAGCAGTACTGTGCCTGTCTTTTTCTTGACCTGTCCAAAGCTTTTGATACAGTAGACTACAACACCCTGCTTAGTAAACTAAGTTGCCTCGGTTTTTCCGAGAAGACAGTACAATGGTTAAAAAATTACCTCTTTTCTCACACCCAAACTGTATTCACAGATGGTTGGAGGTCAAACAGTGTTAAGATAACAAAAGGGGTTCCACAAGGTTCCATCCTCGGCCCCCTCTTGTTCTCTCTTTATGTCAATGACTTGGGCACTGACCTGGATCATTCCAGGGTAAATCTTTTTACAGATGACACGATAATGATTACTGCTGGCCGCTCTCCGGATGACGTGATTGCTAAGCTCCAGGGTGATTTCAACAAACTACAACATCAGCTAGTTTCTCTTAAACTAGTCTTGAATACCTCCAAAACCAAGGTGCTATGCTTCTCACCGGGACGAAAGCAGGACGTTATTTTTCCCCAATTACATTCCTTGAATAATTATCAAATAGAGCAAGTTAAGATCTATAAGTATCTTGGGGTCATCCTGGATTCAAAACTTAATTTTGAAGATCACATTGATTATATTGGTAAAAAGACAAAAATAAAAATTGGTTTTCTGTATCGACACAAGCATTGCTTCCCCCCAATGTTCCGTTTGGAATTGATAAAAGCTACCATACTGCCTCTACTTGACTACTGTGACATCGTGTATAAATCAGCCCCAAGTACTGTACTGAAAAAGCTTGATTCCATCTATCACTCGGCCTTAAGATTTGCATTGAACTGCCCATATAGGACTCACCACTGTGATCTCTACATTCGGTCAAACTTAACATCTCTTAATGTTCGACGGCTTGTGCACCAGATCTTATTTATTCACGATGTACTTACAAAAAAATCCGCAGACTACCTACTGGATCTCCTCTCTGTTTCAAAGAACAAATTTGACCTCGGGTCTTCGCTCATCTACCAGTCTCGTCCCTTCACCTGATGAAGGCCGCTTGTGTTGTAGCCGAAACGTCGTGAGAATATTATTATTTTATCAATTTATTATTTTATTCTCATTCTACGTGACTTTACTGAAAGAACCAAAGAAGATGCTCTAGAGGAGTTGTACACCCCTAGCTGCCACTGCTATTCAGTGGCCTAAAATATGGCTCTAGATTTTGGTGTTATAATTTATTTATGTAGTTTATTGTTAAAAATTCGGTCACAGTCCCTATGATCACTGTTACATTGCATTTATGGCTTTTATTTTGTTGATTTCGAAAAGTTTTTTTGAGTTTTGGCCATGTTTTTGTTTATTGTATACGGAGTTAGACTGATGTCCTTAATCTTAGTTGTATTGTGGTTGTTGTTGTTATTTTGACTTGCATCCCACTGGGATTTTTTGCACACAGCGTTGGTGTACGGTGCTATTTCAGGAATATTTTGTTTTTTTCCTGGATTTTCTGGTTGCACAGTCACATAATCACTTTAAGATGTTTTCTTGTTCATGTTTTTTTGTTTGTTGCGGTTGCACCCGCTTCAAGAGCCGAATGGCTCACAGGGCTATACCAAATAAATGAACTATGAACTATGAACAGCTTTGCGGTGTTGCTGTCGATCGAGATAGCCAAAGTGGTGACGTCATGTCTTATTGTTGTCGGTGACGTCACCGCAAAAGGCCGCCGACAAACCCTCGATGCGATGACGTCACCAGCCCCCCCTCCCTCGCGCGGCGCCGTCGAATGTCGTCACGACGCCGCTTCCGCTCATGCGCATTGCGGCTGCGTGACGTCACCGCCCATCCCCAGCAGGCACGAGAGGCGCAGTTGAAGAGTTCGCGCGAGCGGGCGGCGTCGTCGGCGCTGTGAAGAGGGGGGACAACGTGGAGACAAAAAGCAACCCGAGCGGCCAGAGAACGCGGCTTTCCCCACCACCACCACCTCCTCCCTCCTCTTCTTCTTCCACGCCGAGGTGAGCGCCTCCGCGATGTTTCGCGCCCCATCTCGAGCCCTGGCGGGCGGTGTCGACCCCCCCCCCCACACCAGCCCAGCCCAGCCCAGCCGCTCGCATTTCCCAGCGCGCATAAGCGTCCGCCGTACCGGAGCTCGCCGCCGATTGGGCGGCGCGTCCGGCACGTGGCGCCCGTTGCCGAATCAGACGGCCGCGCTTGCGTGTCCGCGATGCCAATTGTAATGGAAAGGCCCAGGGGGGGGAGCTCGCGAAGATGAGTGGCGTCGAGACCGCCGAAGCGTTGCCGGCAGCTGCGGGCCCGGGCGGCGGCGGCGGCGGCGGCAGCCGCATGAGCTGGCGGGGCTGGGGGCTATTAGCGAGCGGCCTCAGCGCGGCGAGCACTGACAATTAGACGCGGCAGCGGTAGCACGCCGCCGTACTCTCCCGTGCAAGTGTCGCAGTCGGGTCACGGGAGGCGGCTTCCGTGACACACGGCTTTTGTTGGGAAGTGTCTCTGTTGTGGCCGCTGAGGGTGTGGTGGTGGTTGTTGTAGGTCGAGAGAGGCAGCTCGCTCGCTCACTCAGCGCGGCTAATTTCCAGCGTTAGGTCCCAGCGATAATTATCGCGACGGGTGGCGTCATTATTATTAATAATAATGGTGTTCCTACAGCTGCTTGCTTCGCGCAAACGCGGGTAGAAATCTCCCCCATGTCACGCGGGCTGTTGTAATGTTTACTCAAGTGCGCTGGGGGGTGGTGGGTGACTCTGTGGGCTGTGGCTCGTGCCGCCTTGGCGCGTGAAAGCTGCCAAACACGGCAAGGCAAAGATGAGAACCCTCCGCACACGCATCCCCCGTGTAGCCCGGGGTTGAGCGGACGCCGATTGCAGGGCATCGCGGCGCGGGTGGTGATGCTTTGGTGCCCCGCGCCTCCCGATCAGCACGGTTGGTTACGTGCGGGGCGAAAGAAGTTTAACCTGTGAGTACATACACGTCGGGCTGCGTTCGTGTCCCCAGTGTTGATGTTTACACACCACGGTGTACTCAAATATTTAAGGTGGTCCGTCAAATGCAATATATACAAAGGGTACACACGTAAGCGGGTTCAACCGTGCGAGAGTAAATCCGGTGACCTGTACACATGCGAATTTTCCAACGGTGTGAGAGTTGTTGCCGACAGAAGTGAAATTAAACAAGACCCCCTTACGTGCAAATAATATACAGGTATCTAAAAAAAAAGTACACTTCCATCCGTGCTTTCCTTGTTTAGCTAGCTTGGCTGCATCCTTCACGTGGCGAGATCGGTGCTGTGTACGTACGGTACCGCATCGTGACATGGAAACCTGGGCCAAGGTCGACGAGTGTACGCCAGCGTCACCACCGTCGTCACAAGCCCCCCATTGATCATCGCCACCATCGTGACAGTAGTCAACGCTCATTCGGTGCAAATAAAAACAAATATTCATAACTCGGCAATGTTTACGGTCGTACAAATGTCGAGGTGCCGCCACTGCGTCTTGCTCGGCAACAAGCGGGCATCACGAGGACGCCTCGATTCAAAATTACCTTAATTTCGCATATACAATTGACGGAATCTCCCTTCTGTTGCTGGGTTTATTTGTATTTTATATATACTTTAAATGCCAAACCATGTTTCCTGTACCCACGATTGACGTTAATGGGTTTTGTATCGCCCCGTGCGCTTCGTGTACGATACAGCAATTAGCGATTTTGTTGGCTGCTCATTAACCTGGACCCTTCCGCGTAACGTGTGGCTTGTGTCTAGCCTGCGCGTTAGTTTTTTTTTGGTTAACGATGCAAACTCGAATGTTATGATCGTTTCCGTCACGTTACCACTGACGGTAAATTTGCTGCGTTCTTGGCTTAAAGATACTGATTTATGGAGTAAATATTTTTAATCGTTGTTGCTGTCATCAACGGTGGGGTTAAGTTGTAACAATGGCACGGGAGAGTAGGGCATCCGCTGGTAGCTGTCAATAAATATGCAGCACTATACAAACGGTATCGTTAGCAATCACTCCGCTGTGCTGGCTTTACTGGTCCAGATGACTCAGGTACCCTCCCTGACGGTTCATCCCTCAAAGAGATCGCCCAGAATGCGCGCGATATCGGAAGATCGCAAAAGCGAAGCAGGTTTGAGCCTGGATAGTGCTTTTAATAGACGACCATCATGAATAACACATGTTGTGTACAGCAGAAGACAGTGCGGCAAATCCATTATGCCACTGTACTATGCTCCCACATATATGCTTGCCACCTTCAATCTGCACTGACCAGCGTTGTGAAATTAGGTCAAATAATATGTTTGACATGGCATGGAGACGTCCTAATCCAGCAGTGGATTTCAAAAGGGGGGCTGTGCACGTGCTTACAATAAAAACGTCGACGATGTTCAGTGTCGTTTCATGTCCAGCTCAAGTGGTTGGACAGGAACCATCTTCTCATGCCGCTAGAGAAGCCTTTTATTTTCGGGTGAGAGCACAGGATGTGAACCCAGGACCTCAGTGGTGCTGGCTATGTTATCTGACACGGGTGTAAGATAAACCCCCACTGAGCCACCCAGATTCTGTTTCAATTAAACTGGAACGCGCCCGTGTGTCATTTTGACAGTAAAGTGCTCTTTTTAAACAACACTGCTCTTAAGTGGCAAGGCAGCGCGACATTCCACAAGTGTAGTTCTGTGCGGCAGCATCCAAATAGTTTGCACAAGTTCTGCATTATTGCCTGCGGTAAGGCTGCATTGGGCATCTCGGTGTTAAAAGTAAGACCGCTTTTGGCACTGGCGGAGCCAGTCGGGGGGGGGGGGGGTGGCGCGTGCCCCCCCCAATGATCCGATCGAAATTCCTCATTTCGATCGGATCATTGGTGGTTTATTAGTAATAAATCGGCATTTTGCGACCCCCACTGCCGCTGTGTAGCATATTATAGGACAATAGTCTGAGTCCATAATTGGCAATATGTAACGGAAAAGCAGTTATAAGTGACTCAGATATGTGCGCAGTTGCGTTTACAGTACACGACTTCCCTGAAGGCATCATACCTTCAGCGAGCGCGATGCCGATCACATACGGTTCGAATTCGACCCATCGCCGCACACGCGTCGAATAAAAAGCAAGGGTCAAGTCCTTACTCACTAAAAACGCCTCTATCATTTTTCATTGCTGGAGGGGTTGCCCCCCTACCTGAAAATCCTGGCTCCGCCATGAGCGTTGGGCATCTCGGTGTTAAAAACAAAATTGCATTGCTGACAATGACTTACATTCAAGTGGAACACTGCCCACGATGAATCCAGTCGGCACACTCGGGCAAAGTCACTGCTCGTGTAAAATGCGCTTCTGAAAGTGCATGCAAAAGTGATTATAAAAATGTGTTTTGGGTTACTAAAAAGTCAAAAGGGCCTTAACATTCATAAGGTCTTTTTTTAATTAAATTTGATTGGCACATCTTCAGTTTGCACGTCCTTCGTTTAACATATCCACGTGACTTTTTACTTCAAATGGGCCACCAACAATATTTATTAATCACTGTAAGCATCTTAGCCAATACAATCGGGTACAAGTGGGGAATATTTTCGACATGGGCTCACTTTCTTATGTTAACACAATCATTCACTAGCCACTGCCAAGGGCCCTTTGCAGTGACAGAAGTGGTTTAGGTATGTTAATGGATTTCCATGTCAAAGGTATTTTAAAGCCTGACCCAGCCGCCAGGAAGGAAAACGTTCTCCTCTCCTGTTGTAAAGTTTATTCATGTAACCGACAAGAAAATAGAACACCGCTGAAAAGTACCCAAAGTAGCATGTACAGAGATGTATTTAAATATTAATGTTAAATAACTGGTCTTAAGAAGGATGCAATGCGATGAAGGCTGATGGACGAGACTGGTGACAGAATTGCAGTCAAATGTGTGGTGACGCCTAAAACGGGGGTCGGCAACCTGTGGTTCTTTAAGGGCTGCTTCGTGACGTTATTTGTTAAGGACCACCGTTTCATATTCACCACGTGCATTGCGGCTCTTGAAATGTTCAGTTTATTTACCGAATTGAGAAAACGGCTCCCCTTGTTATTTTGGTTTCTGACCCCTGGCCTAAGAGGATGACTACTGCGGGCATGGAGCCGATGAGATAAACTGCTGCGCAGGGGCGAGATGGATTGTTGCTTTGCAGGACCGTGAGGGATGGCAACAGTGTGTGGAGAGGCCTTTATTCGGCAGTGGATAGGTCATGAATGCTGATGATGATGAATGTGAGTAATGCTGTTGAGAGCTACTAGCTGAAGCTATAAGCAACTGTCAACATGAGCAATGAGGCAGCACTCAGAATTTGAGGTCACGTGTTAATATTAATCTATGTAAATTGGTGTATTGTTTGTAGTCTAGTATACTGCCTAATATGTGCTAATATATGAACAACGAATCTCGTATTAATTGCTGTTGCTGGGAACATTGATATAATTCTGATATTCTTCACTGGTGATGTAATAGAATACATGTTTTTCTTTAACCATTGAATGATCAAATAACACTGATGCCCAGTGAATATTAACCATTACTTCAAAGTCAAAGTGTCTATATTATGTAGATTATTTTGCTGCTATAAATTTCCACACGATGGACCACTTCGTTGAGTTATCATTTGTGGCTGTGTCGCTTGTGAAAAATAAGCTAATAGCTCTGTGGGCTTTACCTGGTAAGATAACAATAGTTTACTCTACAGCGGTGGTAGTGCAAGCCTGTAACCCATCACTGTGGAGGGAAGGGTTGGTGGATCGTACAAATGTTGTGAAACTCCCTTTCCGTGGGCATCGAGGTACCCTACCCTGACTTGCCGTGAAAACATGGCTAAAGTAAATGTGAACTCCACCTGTTCCATCTATATGGGATAGTATTGCCACCTCGCATGTGTGGCTTCCTCTGGGTGTTCTGGTTTCCACCCACATGTATAAACACTTTATTTATTGACCGATAACACCCTCATATATATAAAGGACAACAGAGCTTGGGC